CCAGCTGGAGCTCCCGGATTTGTGTTTGGGGCAGCAGCAATCCCTGCCCGGGGCTGTGGCAGCGCTCTCAGCCATTGTTGGACCTTCACCCAGCCCTGCCGGTGGCACCTTTCCCATCCCTGCGGGCAGGAGGGAAGCAGGAAAAGCCAGGGATGGAGCAGTTCAATCCCTGCTCCTTCCTCCCGGCTGGTTTTGAGCAAGGCTGTGCCCGCTCCGTGCCGATAACATCCTAAAAAATACCAGCCGGGTTTTTTCCTGCTGTTCCCGTGGCTCTGCCGTCCCCGGGGGTCTCTCGGGGGGCGATGCCGGCAGAGGTGCGAGCCTTCCTCCACCACCCCACCCCTGCCACCCCTCCCTGCTCATCCAGGGGGGTCCGGGGGGGGTCTCCCCACCCTTCCCTGCGCTGCCCACGCCTTGCCCGGGGTGGGAGCGGCTCCTGCGCGACCCCCGCCGCCCCCGCTCTTTGTCTGCGCCGCGCCCCTGCGCCCCCGCTCCCCTTTGTTGGGCACCGAGCACTCGGAGGGGCTCGCCGAGCCCCCCCCGCGCCGGGGTCGGGCCGAGGGGCGGGCGGAGGGAGGGAGGGAAGGAGGGAAGGAGGCAGGGAGGGCTGCAGGGAGGGAGGGGGCAGCTCCGGGCTCGCTCCGCGCTGCCGCTCCCTTGTCTGATGCTGCGCGGCCCCTTCCCCGCACGGAGACCACCGGGATTGGGGATCCACCTCCCTCCCACCCATCCATCCTCCATCCCTCCCATCCATCCTCCATCCCTCCCTCCCGCCGCTCCATGCCGGGCTCCGCGCGGAGCCGCGCTCCGGCCGGGAGGGAGCGGCATGTCCGAGCGGCGTGAGGCGGGCACTGCCCTGCCCGGAGCCCTGCCCGCCGGCCCGAGCCGCGGCCAGGTGCTGGAGAGCCGGGCTCGCCCGGGGAGCGAGCGGGGATGGAGCTGAGAGGAGCCCCGGAGGGCGAGAGGGAGCGTCTGCCTTGGGCTGAGCTGCATCCCTGAATCCTTGGGCTGCTCCCGGAATTTTGGGCTGCTCCCGGAATTTTGGGCTGCTCCCGGAATCCTTGGACTGCTCCCGGAATCCTTGGACTGCTCCGGGAATCGTTGGACTGCTCCCGTCATCT